GCAATCAAAATGTGTTGATTATTACTGGTCATTGGAATGCAAAAGTTGGAAACAAAAAAGAATCACCAGTAGTTGGAAAATACAGCCTTGGTGATAGAAATGATGCTGGAAATTGCATGACAGAATTTTGTAAAACCAACAATTTATTCATCCCAAATACTTTTTTTCGACAACATAATTGGTGGCTATACATGTGGACTTTGCCAGATGGAATACACAGGAATCAAATTGACTACATCTGTGCAAAGAGACAATGGAGAAGCTCAGTATCTTCAGCCAAAACAAAGTTAGGACCTCACTGAAAGTGACCATCAACTGCTCATATGCAAGTTCAGATTGAAGCTGAAGACAAAACAAATCCACAAGAACCAAAACATGACCTTGATTATATCCCACCTGAATTTAGAGACCATCTAAAGAATGGATTTGACACATTGAACACCGATGACCGAAAACCAGAGGAATTGTGGGATGACATCAAGAACATCATCCATGAAGAAAGCAAAAGGTCATTAAAAAGACAGAAAAGGAAGAAAAGACAAAAATGGATGTCAGAAGAGACTCTGAAACTTGCTCTTGAATGGAGAGTAGCTAAAGCAAGTGGAAGAAATGACAAGATAAAAGAGCTGAACAGAAGATTTCAAAGAGCAGCTCCAGAAGAAAAAGTCAATTATTATAATTAAATGTGCAAAGACCTGGAGTTAGAAAATCAAAAGGGAAGAACATACTCAGCATTTCTCAAGCAGAAAGAACTGAAGAAAAACCTTAAGCCCTGAGTTGCAATATTGAAAGATTTTATGGGCAAAATATTGAATGATGCAGTAAACATCAAAAGAAGATGGAAGGAATACACAGAGTCACTGTACCAAAATAATTGGTCAGTGTTCATCCATTTCAGGAGTTGGCATATGGTCAAGAATCAATGGTATTGAAGGAAGAAGTTAAAGCTGCACTGAGGAATTGGTGAAAAACAAGGCTCTAGAAATTGACAAAATCCCGTTGAGATGTTTCAACAAATGGATGCCACACTGGAGACACTTGTCTATGCCAAGAAATTCGGAAGACAACTACCTGGCCAACTGACTGGAAAAGATCTGTACTCATTCCAAAGAAAGGTGATCCAACAGAATGTGAAAATTGTTGAACAATATCATTAATATCACATGCAAGTAAAATCTTGCTGAAGATAATTAAAAAAACATTTGCAGCAGTATATTGACAGGGAACTTCCAGAAATGTAAGTTGGATTCAGAAGAGGATGTGGAATGAGGAATATCATTGCTGATGTCAGATGGATCTTGAGTGGATGCAAAGAATACCAGAAAGATGTTTAGTTGTGTTTTGACTATGCAAAAGCATTCAATTGTGTGGATCGTAACAAATTATGGATAACATTGAGAAGAATGGGAATTCCAGAACACTTAATTGTGTTCATGAGGAACCTGTACATAGACCAGGAGGCTGTCATTCAAATAGAACATACTGCAGGGATACTGCATGGTTTAAAATCAGAAAGAGAATGTGTCAGGGTTGTATCTTTTCACTATACTTATTCAATAATCTGGGAAGCTGTGCTATATGAAGAAGAATGTGGCATCAGAACCAGAAGACTCATTAACAACCTGCAATATGCAGATAACACAACTTTGCTGAAAATGAAGATGATTTGAAGCACTTACTAATGAAATTAAGGACTACAGTCTGCAGTATGGTTACACCTCAACATAAAGAAAACAAAAATCCCCACAACTGGATAAATAAGCAACATCATGATTAATGAAGAAAAGATTGAAGTTTTCAAAGATTTCATATTACTTGGTGTGGTAGTTATGTTTGTGCGTCAACTTGGCTGGCCCTGGTTGAGTGGCTGGGCAGCTGCTGGTAGTTATTCCCCATGATGAGACTGGCAATCAGCTCCATGGTGGGATCTACTACAAGCAGCTGAGTAGCTGTCTTTGGGATGTGGTCTGCTTCCTGTATATAAGGAGAAGCTTTGGTAATGGTCTCTAGCCTATGGCATGCTTGGACCCTGCATGGAGCCACATCGTTGCTCAGCAGCCTGCTATGCTCTGCCGACCTTGGGACTTACAATGGACTTAACTTAATGGCCTGCCGTGTGGTTTGATAACATCAGGACTGTGCCTTTTTACGTGTAAACCTTGAGGTTTCTCAGCCTCAGCAGCCAGCAGCTGAGTGAAGAAATGCCTCTAGCTCCAGTGGGCAGGGAGCAGGAGGCGGAGCTGGACCCCAAGGTTGAGGGTTTTTCACCCAGCCCCTAGAGGCTGGCACTTTGAACTTGGACTTCAAGTCTCCAAACTGTTAAGAATAAGCTATTGTTTGTTAAGGCCATCCCATTTGTGGTATATTCTTGTCAGAGTGGCACTGGGTAACCAGAACATGTGGTTACCCAATCAACACCAATGGAAGCAGCAGTCAAGAAATCAAGATGACATATTGCACTGGGAAAATCTGCTACAAAAACAAAGAGTCAAGAAAGAACGACACACAGGCAAGTTGCATCAAGTTTTCTAAATACAGATAATTTTTATTTTATATAAAATTTCCAGAAAATAGGAAAAAGAACACTCCTCAACTCATTCTATGGGACCACAGTTACTTTATAACAAAATGAGAAAAAACATCACGAGAAAGGAAATTGGGAGCTCTGGTGTTGTAATGCCTAAGGCATTTGATTGCTAACCAGAAGGCTGGTGGTTCAAACCCACCTGCCACTCCTCGGAAGGAAGGTTGGGCAATCTACTCCCGAAGTGATACTGCCTCAGAAACCCAAGGAGGGGTCGCTATGAGTCGGGGCTGACTTGACCGCAGTGAGTTTGGAGTTTGGTTTGGAGAAAGTAAATTTGAGGTTACTTCACCACTTCTATTCAATATTGTAATGGGATCCCAGACAGAGAAATAAGACAAGAAAAAGGAGTAAAAGAAAAAATGGCTAGATAAAAAAAGAAAGAAAACTCTTATTAACAGATGATGTGATAGTATACATAGGAAATTCAAAATAATCCACAAATGAATTATTAGAATTAACAATTTGTTGTTGTTTTTTGTTTCTGTCAAGTCGGTGCTGACTCATAATGACCCTGTGCACAACTGAATGAAATACTGCCCAGTCCTGCATCAGCCTCACAATCCTTGCTATACCTGAGCCCACTGTTGCAACCACTGTGTCAGTCCATTTCATTGAGGGCCTTCCCCTTTTTCGTTGACCCTCCATTTTAACAAGCATGATACCCTTCTCCAGGCAATGGTCCCTTCTGACAACTTGACCAAAGTAGGTGAGACAAAGTCTGGCCATTCTTGCTTCCAAGGAACATTCCAGCTGCACTTCTTCCAGGATAGGTTTGTTAGTTCTTCTGGCAGTGCATGATACTTTTAGTATTCTTTGCCAACACTACAACTCAAAAGCATCAACTCTTCTTTGGTCTTCCTTATTTATTGTCCAGCTTTCACATGCACATGAGCTGAAAACACCATGGCTTGGGTTAGGCACACCTTAGCCTTCAAAAAGACATCTTTGCTCTTTAGCAATCTCTTACTTTGCAGTTTCAAAACAGGTGGTACCACAAGATAGCATGATTTGCTTTAAGGTCCCAACCAGTTTAAAGGGCAAATCATGGCTGCATCTCAGGTTATCCATTTCCTCCTCCTATCTCTTTCCTCTCTGCTCTTTTCCTCCTTTTCTTAACACCATCTTAGACTCAGACAAACTTGCATTTGGATCTCAGTTCCACTACTTACTTACTGGTGACCTTTAACAAATTATTTGTTCCTTACTGATCCTCACAGGTTAAATTAGATATTAACATGCACCTCAAATGGTTGTTGTAAAGAATGAATTTTAAAAAGTAAACAAAGTATTTGGTATATATGAAACAAATGTTGGCTCTTTTCAGATATAATACCTTCTATTATTATTATCCCCTTCCTCTTTCCTCCTCCCCTTTTTTTCCTTCTCCTTCTCTCCCTTCTTCTTCTTTTTTTTTTTTTTTGGTGTGTGCCTTTTCTCTTACGCTTCTAAAGTGATAAGATTGGACTCATTAAATTCTTTGGTCCCTTCAGACTTTTGAGTATTTTATTATGCCTTTTATTTCTTCTCCTCAATTTTGTTTCACCTCTTCCATTCACTACTACCAATCCTTTTTCTCCTACAGAATTTTTCCCCCTAAGGCATTAAGGTGAAGTGGAAAGACAGATTTCAATTTGAAGAGACCTAGGTTCCAGGCAAGTCCCCGAATTTTTATGAACCTCAATTTCCTTACCTGTTAAATGAGAATAACAACATATGCCTCCTGTCCAGGTAGTCCCCCCACCCCCCGGAATGAAAAGAGTCAATGTATGGAAAGCATCACTCTCCAAGTATGTGTTTCATTCAGGGCACAGGGAGTCCTGGAGTCAGTCTGAGATGGCAGTGCAGTTGTATGAATTCAGTAGAATAAAATTTTAAAAGATGCCTAAACAAAAATAAGCACTCAATACATGTGTTATTATTTTCTTTCCCTGTTCTACTTCTTTTCCGCTGTTCCTCAAAAAACGAGTGGATGAACTACCCACGTGATCTCTGCGGCTTACTTTCTATTACTATTATTATCCCTCTTCTTCTTTCCTCCTCCCCCTTTTTACTTTTCCTTCTCCTTCTTCTTCCACTACAGCTTCCCTCTCGCTCCAGGTACGTGCGGCAGCCCGGGAGTCCAGGCCTCCGACAGCTTAGCGCTAACACTGCTCCTGATCCTCCGAGGGCGAAGGTTCGTCTACGTTTACCGTCCAGCGCCCTTCCACCAATAAAGATTTATTGAAACAAAGAAGAGCAAGGGGGGGAAAGGCCCCCTTCTCCCCCGCAGCCAATCAGAGAATAGGATGGCTGTGTCCCATCACTGGCGCTTCAATGGCCAGAGGCGGGGCCGAGCGTGTCCCGCCGGAAATCTGTGTCTCAGAAGAGGAAGTACGACCGGAAGGTAGCGATAGAGTTTAGTGGCTAGAGCGACTCTGGGGGAAGGTGGCAGGAAAAGCTCAGAACAGCTGCCGGAGGTGACGGAGCAGCCGCCCCGCCCGGTGCGCTGGCCGACTGAAGCTTCCAGGTAGCGGCCCACAGAATCTGACCAAGGGTACAACGAGGCAGTCGGCTGCAGCCCACGGTCCCTGGGCGGACTCTTTAAAGAGGGGCGGAGCCACGCGGAAGGAGCGTGGGGTGAGGTCACGTGGTTGGTGACACGTGTGGGGCACGAGGGGAAAAGCTAGCGAGCTTCGTTGTTGGAGTGGACATCATGTGACATATCTTCACCCTGGGGGCTTGTGCCTGGGGATTCAGGGAGGGAATTGCACGTGGTAAGACCTGGGGTTAGGCCAGGGTTTAGGGGAGAGGGTAGGTGTGGCATTCCTGTCTCAGGTGCTCTCATCTCAATGACCAACTTTAGGATTCCTAGATCCGAGTTCTAACCACTCCCCTCTCTGATTACTCTAGTAGAAGCGACTCATTTGCTCTGCAACTCAGCCCCTCCCCCTTGCCCTTCCCAACTTGCCAGCAGTCAGAGACCTCTAGGTTCACAGCCTCTTTCCTTGCAGCTCCAGACATCCTGAGCCCAGCTACCCCCAGCTCAGTGCAGCCATGAGTGGGGAGGTGAAGGTGACAGGGCAGAACCAGGAGCAATTTCTGCTTCTGGCCAAGTCTGCCAAGGGGGCAGCGCTGGCCACACTCATCCATCAGGTGCTGGAGGCCCCAGGTGTCTACGTGTTTGGGGAACTGCTGGATATGCCCAACGTTAGAGAGGTGGGTTCATAGCCTGGATAGCTCACAGCAAAGCTTGTAAGGTTAATTTTGCAGCTGTATAACCGTTCAGTTGAATAAGAATATGACCATGATTAACTGGTAGCTTGCAAAAGTAAGTAAGCAAGTAAACGTCTGAGATTCCCTTTAGATATAAGAGATCTGTGAAATCCAGTATTTTTACACTTTTAAACAAAAGAGCATTCCTATTCAGAATGTTGCTTTTGTTATGTGCCCTCAAATCGGACCGACTCATAGTCCTTGGGTTTCCAAGGCAGGATTGCCCCAACTTCCTTCCCAGGAGTGGCTGGTGGGTTTGAACCGCCAGCCTTCTGGTTAGTAGTCAAGTGCCTTAGGCACTATGCTACCAGAGCTCCCAAAAACCACACCTCAACTGACTGCATCGGACTCCTAGCGAGCCCTCCCCAAGGAGGACGGAGTTGAGAAAGAGACGGCCAAGTCTATGCGCCGCAGAGTGGCTGGTGGTCTCTGCGAGCGACTGCCTTAAGCCATCTTCCAGGGCTCCTAGTTAGAATAGGAGACCTGAATTCTAGCCTGTCTCCACCAGTGTAATATCCCTTGGTAATTACAACACTTTGGTCAGATCAGTTACTTTACGGCTTCAATTTTCTCTTTTGAAAATGTAGGTGATATTGCCCCTTCACTGTTACTGTGGGAATCGAGTGAGGTTATGGGAAAGTGTAAAGCCTGATACAAATGGGAAGAGTGGACATATTAAATTAGCATGCCCTGTTCTCCCTTCTTTATACCATATGTTATTTATTTAAGGTAGGTAAGGTAGAAGGTGTCTTTTCTCCCAAAGACATGGTAAACTGCCAGGAACAAAGCAGAAGAAACTTCACACAGAAGTAGCAGAGTTAAGAGTTTAAAGAGTGAGTGTTGCCAAGATATATGGCACCATCCAAGTTCTGAAATGCTATGGCAGTGGGCCACCAGAGCTAGGTTTTTGCAGGCCTATAGTTGAGTCAATGGATTTAACCAATTTCGATGACTCTATGGTACAAAGAAACTGTTGCCTTCTTTTCCTGTTTTTCTCAGCTGTGGAAGAAGTAGGTATTGAGTGCCTTCTTAGCACTCTGCTAGTCGTCTAGGAACACCAGAAAAGTACAAGACACAGTGCTTACCCTTCTGAAGCTTACAGTCCAATTGAAGAGATGGGATTAATAGATAAAAATCTATAAGTCACTCATTTAGCGAGTATTTATTGAGCTATCCAACTACATGCATAGCTCTGCTAGATTTTGAGTGGAATACCAGAGTCTGGGTCTATAATCTTACTGACAAGAAAGGTATTGTTAGGTAACCACCTTAGGTGGAGATTGTTTGATGAAGTACAAGAATGACTGATCAGTGATAGGAGGAGAGAAATGGGGAGGCTGGACTAGGTGCTGCAGGCATCCCGGTGAAGTGAGTCTGAAGCAGAAGCCACAAATTCAGATGCCTGCCTAGGCCATGCAGCTGTCAGAGGTGAGAGAGGCAGGAGAGTCTTTGGTGAATTGAGGAGTACAGTCAACTGTTGAAAGACACGCATAGTCAGAAATATTAAGTATACTCTGAGGGCCAAACAACACAGTTTGTAATGTCTGGTGTATGTCTGACAGGTAATAGGCATCCTTAATATTTTTAGCCCTGAATATAGGGTAGGAATTGGATGGTGGATCTAGGAAAAGGGCATTGTGGGTTGGGCAAATAGCATAAACAGGCCTGAGAGGAAATGAGCCCTTCCTATGGGAATGTGGTCAAAGAAACAAAGAATTCCTTTTAGTGAGTGGGAGAGCATTGGAGTGGAGAGAAGACCAGAAAGTAGAACTTAAAACAGGGTAAGACTGAGAGGGTGGAGAGGGAACCCCTTCCTGTCACCACTTCTCTTCCCTCATATTCTTGCAGCTGGCTGAGAGTGACTTTGCTTCCACATTTCGGCTGCTCACGGTGTTTGCTTACGGGACATATGCTGACTACCTAGGTAACCAGATGGATGAATTGGAACTTTGGAGTAGTAGTGGAGATGGGAGAAGGTCAATTTCTGGAGGAACTTAGTTGGAAGAAATTCTTGGGATATCCCATTTGATTGGATCTCCTAGTTGCACAGGGTCAGGGTCTAGACCTGGATTGGCATAAAAAAACTGGGAAAAAAAAAAAAGCAGGGCATGGAGGTTCGGATTTCCCACAAACTGAAATCAGGATTACTTGCACTTTGTCCTTTTCTCCTAGCTGAAGCCCGGAGTCTTCCCCCACTCACAGAGGCCCAAAAGAATAAACTTCGACACCTATCAGTTGTCACCCTGGCTGCCAAAGTCAAGGTGAGTGGCAGTCCCCCAGCCCTAAGCCACAGAGATCTGGAGCATTCTTCTGTATGCTCCTCCACAGGGGCCATTGGCAGGGAGTTTGCACTGGAACAGTCTTTGACCCAACTGTTGCTGCTTCCTGCCCGTCTCCTAAGGTCTGTATCTAAAGTCCTTTACCTGCAGCTTCTTAGGCTAAACTAAGAATTTTCTGTCTTATTTTTCAATCAATTTAAGTACTAAGTAAAACTTCATTTGTGTTTTTTCGTCAAAATAGCAACCAGGATGTTCACTGTGTTGTTCAGAATTACCCATTTCTGACTCTCATATACTGCTGGTGGGACTGTAAAATGGTACAACCACTGTGGAAATTGGTATGGCAATTCCTTCAAAAGTTAGAACTAGAAATACCATTTCACCCAGGAATCTCATTACTAGGTATATATCCTAAAGAAGTAAGAAGCAGGACATGAATAGATACATGGACACCTGTGTCCATCACAGCACTATGCACAATAGCAAAGAGATGGAAACAACCTAAGTGCCCATAAACCAAGAAAGGGATAACAAAACTGTGGTGCATACACACAGTGGAATACTATGCAACCCTAAAGAATAATGTGGAATCTGCAAAACACTGCATAATGTGATGAACTTGGAGGACATTATGCTGAGTGAAATAAGTCAATCACAGAAGGACAAATATTAGTTCACTATTGTAAAGAGTCAAGGAAAGGTTTATACATGGTAGGAAACTTTGTTGGTTACCAGGGAAGGGAGAAAAACAAAACCAAACATACTGCTGTCGAGTTGGATCCAACTCATAGCGACCCCTTGGGTTTCCAAGGTGGTATCACTATGGAAGTAGATTGCCCAGCCTTCCTTCTGAGGAGTGGCTGGTGGGTTTGAACCACCAGCCTTCTGGTTAGCAGTCTAATGTCTTAGGCACTATGCCACTTAGATAGGTTGGGGGGGAATATATGTGTATGTATCTATACACCAAAGATTATTAGTTGTTACCAGGGGTAAGGGGGAGGGGAAAAGGGGAAGCTTTTGTTTGTGGGGCATTGAGTTTATGCTAATGGTGGTAGAATATTTTGGAAAAGGATAGTAATAATGGTGGCACAACATGAAAAACGTCATCAACATCCCTGAGCTGTAAATGTGAAAGTTGTTAGGTTGGCGAACGTCTTGTGTATGTTTTCATTGCAATAAAAGTAAAAAAAAAAAAAAAATTACCCCCTTCCTACTATGTAATGTCCCATGAGAACAAAGCCTCAGAACAGGGCATTCTCTTCTGATGAAGTGCTAGGCTTCTGTTTGTTAGAATGAAAACAGATTATTGTGAGATGCCTCAAACTTGGGATGCCACTTTGGAATTAGGTAGAGTATAAATGATAAACAGTAGCTCTAGACCTTTCCCGCTTCCTTATACCCATTATGTCAAGCTGATCTTGACCAAAGGTGGTGTGATATACTGAGCTGTGACTGAAGGGATGACACCCAGGCAGATGTCACTTTCTCCCCCTGTAGTATGGCAGCTGGAGATGGCAGGGGAGCATAAGCTTTGTATTTTGTTTTTTGATATTGTCCTTCTCGTGATGTTATTTGGGAATGGGGGTGCAAACAGAACCAGCTTTTTAAAGGAAATGATTTACGAATAAGAGAAGGTGGGTCTGGGCAGGACTGGAAGGAAAAGGATTGTTGGAGTCCCCTCTCTGCTGTGGAACCTCACGAACTCTGGCCTGACTTCTCTGGTTTCCAGTGCATCCCATATGCAGTGTTGCTGGAGGCCCTTGCCCTCCGTAACGTGCGGCAACTAGAGGATCTGGTGATCGAGGCCGTGTATGCTGACGTGCTTCGTGGCTCCCTGGACCAGCGCAATCAGCGGCTGGAGGTTGATTACAGTATTGGGCGGGACATCCAGCGCCAGGACCTAAATGCCATTGCCCGAACCCTGCAGGAGTGGTGAGACCTATTCCTGGCACTGTCCCTTTTCTTCTTACTCCCAGAAGGAGAGAGGTGCTTCAGAGGGGGCTGGGCTGCAGAAGTGGCACCCAGTAGGATAAAGGTAAATGAGCTCCTTCCTCCAAAGGCTTCAGAGGTAGGGGAGAGTGGAAGAGGGCCTAGGAGGTAGAGTCTTTGATGTAGTAACTGGGGAAAAGAAGTGGGAGGTGGTCCCTTTTAGAGGATCCTAATTAGAGGTTGATCACCTATCCTAGGCTGGATTCAACCCATGGGTCTGTAACCACCACTGTCCATGGACTGTGGGCCTCTCACACTTCTGTTCTTCTCTTGGTATCCCTGTCTAACTTCAGTGTTTTTATTCATGAGTACACCTCCTCTTTTTTTCTTTAGCATTTCTAACCCCATTTTGTTTTCAGTTTTTACTCTCATCTTGCATTATCACTACAGGCACTATCTTATCCCTCTGTGATTCTACCTGAAAGTCCATCTTGTTACTGGAGGTAGTGTTGCAGGTGGTTTCCAGGTGCCCTGGTAAGGGTTCCTAACTCAGGCAATGGCTTGGATGACAGGATCTAGGGTTCTTGAGTCTATCTTCCATGAGTTTATGATGATAACTGAATTTATGATCACAGCCCTCTTCTGCTGACACTTCTCATCTCTTCCAATCCCCACAGGTGTGTAGGATGTGAGGTTGTGCTGTCAGGCATCGAGGAGCAAGTGAGCCGTGCCAACCAGCACAAGGAGCAGCAGCTGGGCCTAAAGCAGCAGATTGAGAGTGAGGTGAGCAAGCAGGAGAGCAAGAAAGTCACTCTAAGCGGGGCCAGCTGTTTTGTGCCAGAGGGTTTGAATAGTGTCTGTAGCAGAGAGACAAGTGGGCAGGGACTGTCAGGTTGTGGAATCTTTCTTGCTATTACCCATTCCTTTCTTCTGGTAGGTTGCCAACCTTAAGAAAACCATTAAAGTTACAACGGCAGCAGCCGCTGCAGCTACATCTCAGGACCCTGAGCAACACCTGACTGAGCTGAGGGAACCAGCTCCTGGCACCAACCAGCGCCAGCCCAGCAAGAAAGCCTCAAAGGGCAAAGGGTGAGCCAGTGGGATAGGAGCTGCTTGCTTCTTGGGTGCTTGGCTTTTAGTTCAGGGACCTGGCTGCCCTCACTTCCCTTAGTCATTTGCATGGGTTTAGGAAGTGGGGGAGCCTTTGTGGGTCATGGAGTTCCCTGCATCCTCTCTCTCTCTTCTTACCAGGCTTCGAGGGAGTGCCAAGATTTGGTCCAAGTCAAACTGAAGGGACTCTTCGTATCTTCCCTGGGGTTATGGGGCCCCAGCTGCCTGCCTGCCCCTTAGGAGTCCTCAAAGAGCCTTCCTGTGCCCCTGGCCAGCTGATAATCCTAAATTCATGACCTTTCACCTCCCTTCTCTTCCCCACTCCCAAACATAGATCATACCTCTCTAGGGAGGAAATGAATACAGGTCGTGTTTATGTTGGTACTTTTTGCATTCTGTGACTTTCTCATGTGTTCCCATTTTCCCCACCCTCTCCCTGCCATGCCTCTCCCATCTTTAAGAGATCAGCCTCTGTCCCTGTCTATTACATCCACCATTGAGTAGGTGGTAGCTTCTTGTCCAACATAACCCACAAGTGTTTTTCTCCTACTAACCCTAACCTTGCATGCCTGATCCCCAATTCCTACTCACTACTCCTGGCCTATTTGGGCAGCATTTGGAGAGCCATAGGGCCCCACCTGTGTTCCCACCATGAGAGCTCTGGGAGCCAGTTTGCCATTCAAGAAGTCACTGGACACTTTCATCTTAGAATCCTATCACACTACAATTGTTTCCTTTCTTCTCTCTTTCCCTTGGGCCCTGGGAGTGCTGCTGCTTCGATGTTCTGGAGCCCAAGAAGGACAGCTGTTTCCTTAGAGTTGAGAGATGGTTTTTTCTTGGCCCTGGCTATTTTAGAAAGCCTGATAGCAATCCTGGAAGGATTTATATTTCTTTTTGTGAGTTTGGTGGGGAACGGGAGGGGATATAGATTGTATTAAAAAAAGGATATATACATATATCTATATGTAACATGACATAGAAATAAATCTATGAGACATCTATCTACAAACATGCCCTGAGCTGGCTATCTTCTGTGTGATATTTGTGGATGGGAGGAAGAGTCATTCCCAGTCCACTTTAAAACAAAACCCTGGAAAAAAGGAGAGACCACATACTGCTTGCTCAGTCCTAGCTTAGGAGCCAGGAGGCCTAGGTCCTGGGCTGTGTGATTTTGGACAGGTTGCTCAGTATCTCATCATCCATCCATCCATTCATTCATTCATTAGCAATGAATTTTACTGAGTACCAACATGATAGGCACTGACTATGCAAAATGGTGGTCACTGCTCCTTCTCTCAAGGAACTTCAATTCAGCTTGTTTCCTTCTACCTCTCACTGAATTATAAGGGGAAGAGTTAATGGTAAACATAAGTTTTAACATCTAAATCATACAGAACTGTCTGATTTGAAGCAAGAGGCAGCAGTCATTCTCTTGCCGTCTGTGTAAGGCAAAGCTTTCCGAGCAGTGTGCTGAGAGGAGTGGTCTTTTGGCCCATACTGCTGTAAACCAGGCAAGCTCTAGTGTAAGGGGAGAGTTGAGAGTTGAGCCACCAAATGTGTATGAAGCAGCTGTCTCTTGAGGGTCCCACTGTGTACTGGGCTGTGCTAGATCTCCCAAGGTGGAAATTTAGGAGAGACCGTACTTCATCAGTCCTAAATGTATGAGTCATGGAAATAAAAAGTAGGGAGTGGGTTCTTGGCTTTTGATTAAAAGGAGGCTGTGTGAGTTTGTGGGCAATAGAGACTTGTTGGGACTGGTTACAGTGAGCCCAGTTTCTGGAGTTGACACTCTTGGCTTTTGCTCTTAGCTTTAATCTCCAAAACCAAACCAAACTCACTGCTATCGAGTGGGTTCCAACTCAGCTATCCCCTTTGTGTTTCCAAGGCTGTAGATCTTTACAGAAGCAGACTGGCTCATCTTCCACACAGCGGCTGGTGGGTTCAAACCACTGACCTTTGGTTTAGCAGCCAAATGCCTTAACTATACCACCAGAGCTCCTTAGCTTTGCCATAGACATACTCATTTGCCCTGTGCCATCTTGATTCTCAGCCTCAACCTCTGAAATTCTTCCGTACCCTCCAGTGTATAGAAGTTGCTAATTCCTGATGCTTTGAGCCTTCCCCCACCTATACCCTAGTTTTCCTTTTAAACTTCTTTTCCAGTAAGCTTGGAGGAGAAATCACTGTTCCCAGCTAGTGATCCTGTAACTTCCTAGACCTGTCTAATTCCAGTTTTTAGCGAGTGGTTCTAAAATCTAGTGTGGGCTGCTTTCACACTGCCTGGCTTCACACCTGAAAGGAGGGGGGAGGCATTCATATCCTTATGGACATACCAGTGCAGGTTGTCTGTCTTTGATTTACAAAGAGGGGGTTCTTGACTACAAAGGCCATACTCACACACATGGTAGTTCTCACTCTAGAGCAATCTTAGATGACCTTGGGGCTTGACCACTAGGATAACTTGCTTCTGTGAAAGTTCATAGTTCATGCACATGAATGGGTGACACTTAAAATGTTAAAATTTTAAGTAAAAATGGTAATTGGACTGGTACACATCTTCAAGCACAAGAAGAACAGAGACAATGAAATTGTATTATAGATGAATAAGAAATTCCTTATTTAGGTGAATCCACCCATACAGATGGATAGAAGGGATTTTAGAGGGTTATGTTAGCAACAGTTTCTGTGGGTAAGGAATCCAGGCATGGATTAGGTAAGGCTTCTGCTTTGGGGTCTCATAAGGCTACAGTCAAGTTTTTAGCTAGGGCCAAAATCATTTCAGGGTTAAAATGGGGAAGGATTTGCTTCCAAGCTCGCTTAATGATTGTCAGCAGGATTCATTACTTCATAGGGGGTTGGATTGAGGGCCTCATTTCTGTGCTGTTGGCCAGAGGCTGTGCAGCTGGCTGTCTCCATCAGAGCAAGAGCTAGAGAGAACAGCAGCAAGTCAAAAGTCATAGTCTTTTGCAACCTAGTCACAGATGTGACATCCCGTCACTTTTACCATATGAGAAGCAAGTCACCAGGTCTGGCTTACACTGAAAGGGGGTGGGGGGAACCACAAGGATGTAACTACCAAGTGGCAGGGATCATTAGAACCTGTGTCAGAAGTTTCCTACCACAAACTGTTACTGTAGGCTACTAGCATCATAATCATCCAGGGGGCATATTCATGGACTCCACTCTAGTTCTTATCAAGTTAGAATAACCAGGAAGTGTGGATAGCAAATTTGTCTTCATGACTCGCTTCTGAACTGTGAAACCCACTGTCAATTGAGTTGATCCTGACTCATAGTGACTCTATAGGAGAGAGTAGAACTTCCTCATAGGGTTTCCAAAGTTGTAAATCTTTACAGAAGCAGACTGCCTCATTTTTCTCCAGAACATCTGGTGGGTTTGAACAGCTGAACTTTTTGGTTAATAGCCAAAAGCTTTTAACGACTGTGCCACCAGAACGCTTTCTGAACTGTGAGCACCAGCTATATAAGATACTTCCCCAGATCAGTTTCAACTTGGAACAACTGAAAAGGCTTTTCCTGCAGAGCCTTGGGAAACAGGTAATAGGGCCATATGACAGAAGATGAGCAATGTCAAAACCTTGAGTACAATTCAAGAGAGCAAGAGAAAGGACTTGTCCTGGCCTTTGAGGTTCTTCTTAAGTACATGGTTATATAATTAAGAGTATGATAAGTGTTCTGAAGTACGGAGTGACATGAAGGCATACAATAGAGGATCTAACCTTGCTTGAAAGTCAGGAAATTTTCTAATGACTTGACCTTTAAGTCAAAACTAGAAGCTCAGATAGGAGTGTGATACAGAGGAGGGAGGATAAATATCTTGGGTGCGAGGAATAGTGGGGTGAAGGCCTGGAGGCAGAAAGATGTTATACTGGACCCTACTGTCTGTTGTATGTAAGGTGCCAGCAAGTAATTCTGACACACAGCGACCCCACGTAGAACAGAATGAAACACTGCCTTATGCTGCACCATCCTCAGAATTGTTGCTAGGATTGAGCCCATTGTTGCAGTCATTGTGTCAATCCATCTCATTAAGGGTCTTCTCCGTTTTCACTGACCCTCATCTTTATCAAACATAATACCCTTCTCCAGGGACTGGTCCCTCCTGATTATATGACAAAGTCTCGCCATCCTTGCTTTTAAAGAACATTCTGACTGTACTTCCAAGACATGTTTGTTCTGGAAGTCATAGTATATTCAATATTCTTTGCCAACAGCATACTTCAAATACATCAGTTTTTCTTCAGTCTTCCTTATTCGTTGTCCACCTTTTGTGTGCCTTCAAGGTGACTGAAATGGCTTGGATCAGGTGCACTTTAGTCTTCGAAGTGGCATTTTTGCTCATTAACACTAAAGTGGTCTTTTGCAGCAGATTTGTCCAGTGCAGTACATCATCCAGTTTCTTGACTAGTGCCTCCATGGGCATTGAGGATGGATCCAAATAAAATGAAATCCTTAACAACTTCAATTTCTTTTCCATTTATCATGATGTTATTTATTGGTCCAGTTGTGAGGATTTTTGTTTTCTTTATGTTGAGGTGTAATCCATACTGAAGGCTGGAGTCTTTGATCTTTGTCAGTAAGTGCTTCAGGTCTTCTTCACTTTCAGCAAGCAATGTTGTATCATCTCATATCCTGGATTGTTAATGAGCCTTCCTCCAATCCTGATGCTACATTTTTCTTCATATAGTCCAGCTTTTCAGATTAGTTGCTTAGTATACAGATTAAGTCTGGTGAAAGGATACAGCCCTGATGCACACCTTTCCTGATTTTAAGCCATGCAATATCCGTTTGTTTTGTTTGAACAACTGCCTCTTGGTCTATGTACAGGTTTGTCATTAGGACAAGTAAGTGTTTTGGAATTCCCAGTCTCCCCAATATTATCCATAATTTTTTATAATCCATATAGTTAAATGCCTTTGCATAGTCAATAGAACACAGGTAAACATCTTTCTGGTATTCTCTCTCAGCCAGGATCCATCTAATATCAACAATAATATCCCTCATTCCCTATCTTCTTCTGAATCTGACTTGAATTTCTGGCAGTTTCCTATGTACTGCTACAACCATTTTTAAATTATTTTTAGCAAAATTTTACTGGCATGTGATATTAATATTGTTTGATAGTTTTCACATTCTGTTGGGTCATTTCTTGGGAATGGGCACAGATATGGACCTCTTCTAGTCAGTTGGCCAGGTAGCTGTCTTCTTAATTTCTTGGCATAAATGGGTGAGTGCCTCCAGCATTGCACCTGTCTATTTAAATATCTCAGTGGGTATGCCATCAATTCCTGGAGTCTTGTTTATTGACAATGCTTTCAGTGCACATTGGACTTCTTCATTCAATATCATCAGTTCCTGATCACATGCTACCTCCTGAAATGGTTGAATGTCGACCAATTTTTGGTACAGTGACTCTGTGTATTCTTTCCGTATTCTTTTGATGCTTCCTGCATCATTTAATATTTTGCCCATAGAATCCTTCAGTATTGTCCCTTGAGGCTTTAATTTCTTCTTCAGTTCTTGCAGCTTGAGAAATAGCAATCGTGTTCTTCCCTTTTGATTTTCTTACTCCAACTCTATGCACATTTAATTGTGATATGTTACTTTGTTTTCTCCCTTTCAAATCATCCTTTGAAATCTTCTGTTCAGCTCTTTTATGTCATTTCTTTAATTTGCTTTAGCTACTCTTTATTCAAGTGGAAGTATCAGTCTCTTCTGTTTTTTTCTTTCTTTCCTGTTTTTTTAATGACCTTTTGCTGTCTTCATGTATGCTGTCCTTGATGTCTTCCCTCAACTCATCTGGTCTTTGGTTATTGGTGTTCATTGCATAAATCTGTTCTTCAGATGGTCTCTAAATTCAGGTGGGATATACTCAAGGTTGTATTTTGGCTTTCATGGACTTGTTTTAATTTTTTTCAGCTTCATTTTGAACTTGCATATGAGCAGTTGAAAGTCTGACCCTGGCTTTGTTCTGACATGATATCGAGCT